AAACAAAAAAAAAGGTGTGCGTGCTTCTAGAAAAATGGCCACCACACACGTTAATAACAGCAACAACAGCGTTCTTAACACACCAAACACAACTACTTCCCGTCACGATCACGATCACAGCACTGACTAAAATATTTAATTGTAGATTACTAGAAGTCGGCAAAACAAATTGTGAAACTAAATATCAAACTGTAAGGAAGCTCGTACATACACACACATACACTAAAATACATTAAAAAATGTCTGTAGTGTGTACACATATACATATAATTATATATCTTACATTATAAGTACCTAATGAAGTACTGATTTGATTACTCAACATTTTTTTAAATTTTATTTTCATTTCTTTTGCTTTCAATTTAGACATTCTAAATGCATACCTGTGTGTTCAAAGGTGCAAAATAATTCATCAAATCTAAAGCTACTGTAAGTAATTAAAAATTCAAAGTATATACAAATTAATGCACATATATGCATACAAACTCATATTGTATTTACAAAACGCGCTTAATTAAGAACTATGTACGTGTATATACGCTTGATGACTTTTACTTTTTATTAAAATAATTTTTTTTCCCTTCATACAAATTTTGCAATAAAAATTTGTCTATAAATTCGTAGAAAAATGTGGTGAAATTGAAATGGACATGAAAATAATAAATAAAACAAAAATAAATAAAACAAAAATTAAAAAAAAAATTAAAATAAAAATGCTTCTAAATATTTTCTCATTTAAAATTTTTTTCCATGATTTTAATGCTGGTAAAAATTTTCATTGACTACATAAACTCCCCGATAGTAACGAGATTAGTATTGCCGACGTGAAACTAGTTTTTTCTTATACACATAATTATAAGTATATATATTTTGGAGCGCCTTTTACCTGTATGATCGCTTAAGATGAGTGTTGGATCAAATTGTTAGGGTGCCTTTAATTTCCATCAAAGAAATTTTCTTATCATATGCCCTCTCACGTTAAAAGCCCTGTATATTTATTTATTTGATGTGAAATTTTTTAAAGTGATTATCAAAAAAATACCATTAGCCTGATCACTGAAGATCACTATCCGAGTTATCAAGTAGAAAGTTCTGTGAATTGAGTTATTTCAAGCGATTTTTTTTTAAGGGACATACCTAGTGTGAAATCGATATTTTTCCATATTTCGGTAGATTACACCTTTCAAAATAACATAATAAAATTTCAAATCGATATCTGAAATAGTTTTTGAGTTATAGCAATTTAAAGAGCAGCCGCTCGGCAGCTGGAGAGTCTCATTAGCTACGAGTAAAAACGATCATTTTTATCTTTAAACGCGTTTTTCTCGAAACAGCATTTTCTGAACTTGCTGTAGTGATTACACAAAAACAAATGATATGATCACTATCGAATTTTTTTTACAAGTTCTGTATAGTTCTCCGTATAATGACCTATCGATTTTTGATCTGATCATAAAAGCGAATTAGGCAGACCAAAAACGACCAAAATTTTGGGTGAAATCGACTATTTTTTTTTAACACGCGGCCATATTATAATTTTTTTGATTTCAAGTCATTGTAGGTCATTTTACAGACAGACAATATTATCTAGTTTAACGCGAATTTTTTTTTTCAGATTTCATCCACGGAGAAGACCGGAATCACTGTATATTCTTGAAAAATGTATAAATATATTCTTAAAATTTTGAAATAGTTGATAAAGTATTTTTTTTTTTTAATAAAAATTCCCAAAAATCACCTTTTTTATGCCCTTACACTAGGTGTGCCACTTAAAGTGATCATCAACCAAAGTCTCTATTTGTAATTTAACTTAATTATTCTTTATTCCTCAACAGTTAGTAGTGCCTACCGGCGATCACCGTAAAGCTCATTCTTAATTTTAGCGATTTTTTCATATCTTTCTCGAAAATATAGCGTTATATCAACATTTAAGATATATCTGATTATCAGTTCAATCAACGAGGAAGAATTGTGGATTGATTTACTTGAGTCAATGGTGACATTTTTTAGATTGATCATCGAATTTCATTTAAATTTAGTAAAATACCAATAATTTTTTTTTTTACTTATTGCTCGATGGTATAACGGTTAGCATCACTGCCTGCCATTTAGTTCCTCGGTAAGGTACTTTTTCTTAATTTAAATTACGTCGAGCTTCTTAATTAGAACAAGTTCTACAATTTAGCAGATCCGGCTTCAACTTGTCACAGCAGTTGTTATTCTGACTATTTTTTTTCAGCAAATTTTTCGAACGTCAAACATTTTATTTCACTTAATTTTTTTGTTACTTGTTCTTTATTCATTAGAATTTTTTTGTGAATTGTGACGTATGCTGTGAAGCAGCTGATTGTTAGACGAAAAAAAAAATACAAGAAAGTAAGATGTTAAGAAAATAATATAATCAAATATCAAAGGAGACATAAGAAACCAGCAGACGAGAAGAAACGTACATAAATCTTTGTTGCTTTATTTTATAAATTGAAAAACTCTAGTTTATAAATAACTGTGTCCAATTAAATACACCGCTAAACAATTGATGAACGTAAGCAAAGTAAACACATTTCTTATTGCAAAAAAAAAAAAATAAAAAAATAAATAAACAAATTAAGCACACAATAAATGGCGCCTGCCTCTGACTGGTACGGAGTATTTTTATGAACAGCATCTTTTATTTTCAATTTTTTATATGCACAATTTTCGGGTTGTTCTATTTAAAAGCTATTAAGTTTTTATTAACCTTTTCTGTATTTATTTTTTTTTTAAGTTATTTATTTATTTTTTCGCTTCATTCTTGATTTCTTGCAACCACTGGAGTCCCTACACACACAAATAATTTTGTTAAAAAAATTTCTAGCACCGCAGCTGCTAAAAAAATTATAATAAACAAAATATGAAAATAAAAGCAGCAAATTAATTTAAAAGAAACAGTTGAACCTGGAGGTTAAGCATAAATTATGATGTAAAGAAGTAAGTGCAGACGTATTAAAAACAAAGCACAAAATAAAATGAACGATCACGCGTTGCGGAGCAAAAAAATCGTTTAATACACGTTCATGTGTTGGAGAGCAAGACAGAGAGTAATTGAGACATTGAAGAGAGTATAAATGAGAAAATATACCAAAATCAATGCGCTAAAAAGAGAGTGATAACGAAATAAATGCTAAAGAGCAGGGAGAGTGCGCGCTAAACAGGAAGTCGGAGAGCGAGCGCAAATGACTAAATTCGAAAATAATACTAAGGGAAAAGTGCTCAATTTATAGTCTTGTGCGTAGTTTTGTCAATAATTATTTAACATCCTCGATAGTATAGTGGTCAGTATCCCCGCCTGTCACGCGGGAGACCGGGGTTCAATTCCCCGTCGGGGAGATATGATGGAATTTTTTTTAAATTCTTATGACAATGTATGTATGTATGTAGATGAATTTTCGTGTTGTGATTTTTCTTCGTAATTCTTTATAATACTATTAATAAAATCTTAGATGACTTTCCGAAAAATTCATTAAAACTCTAATGAAACTAAAAGGTGATTTTTAGCGCAGCCAATTAAATTTTTGCCTATCATTCTGTTGGAAGTTTTTCTGTAATTTAAGTAAAAAAAAAGAATAATAATACTACATATCATAAAAAAAAAATAAAACAATAATAATACCAAANCCCTCTACAACTACTAAATCGAAAGCACTGGATTTAAGAAAAAATTTAAATAGAAGCAATAAAAACTCGGCCAAAAACTGCTTTAGCGATTATAAAGCGCCTGTCGCCGCGCCCCACGCCAGTTTGTAGTTAAGACGTTCCTCTAGCCGACTTTTATGCAAAGTGGCCAGATCAATGTCCGACAGGCAGGTCATTGTGTGATTTGATAACGGTTTTATATCAATAATGAAAGTGTTTGCTGATTAGACTTTTTAGCAAAAATAAGCATATTTACGTGTACGTACGCACAAACAAGGTAAGTATAAATAAATGGACATGTGATAAGTACGTGAGATAAATAATAAACACATCTAATTTATATGTATTGGATTGAAAGTGATTTTAGAGTAATTCGTAAAAAAATTAAAGGTATTTATTATTAACAATTTTTTGGTTTTGAAATTTTATCTGCTACTTAAGACAAAGTTGTAAATATTACGTTTAATTCGCTTCACACAAGAATTGATTCTGAAAAGGGAAGAATCGTTACATACCAACATACCGCTAGTCAGCGGGCCAAGAAGCAGAACCGAAATGCTAGTATAGTAAACTAAAGCAGGTCCAGAGACTGCAGCACTGTTTTTTCTTCATTGAAAGAGTGTTAGCCAAGTATAGAACGGTTTCGACATTCAGAAATCTTAGAGGGGTACACGTTCATGCCCAGCAGCAGATTAGCAGTTAAAAGTATGTGGCCGATCTCTGCTTCCAGGTTGGGGTTTTGCGTCTTAATGGCTCTCCTACAAATGGAGGGACTTACAGTTTATACTAAGCCACCACTGAACGGCTGATGGTTTTTTTTAGGAGGAGCCTTCATTTCTTGACCGAAATACCCTCGGAGGGGTGGACATTCCCATACACACATATGTAGAAAGACTAAACGATTGATCGTAGAGATTTGACTCTTAGAGTGTATATGACATCGGATAAGAAAAAATTTGCTCGTATATGTACCCAGGATCGATTTGTTCGAAAAAATTTAAAGAGGAATGTTTGGGCGTAAACTAATATTTTAATTTTTAATACTTTTTTTTTACTGGGAAGTGGACTTGTAGTCGACATATTCAAAAAAAAATCGGGTTTATTATTCTATTTACATGGGACAGCAGTAGATTTTTGCCTAAATTAAAATCGGGAAGACATTTTATTCCAGGTAGTATTCCGGGAATACTTTAGATGGACTGTTATTGCTTTATATATAAAATATAGAAAGGACTTTGCCTATTCAAATGCATGCATCAGAACGATCGTTGGAGAGCAAGACAGAGAGTAATTGAGACATTGAAGAGAGNTATAACAATTCCACTTACGGCCAAGTACCCGAACGCTGTCGCCGTTTTGTTGCTGTAAAATAATTACAATTCGGGCCATCCTCCAGCAAGCGTCGACGCCCCTCTTCGGCACAGGACTTACGACTTTTGTGTTGTACCTTTTGGTGATCACTCAAGGCATCATCATCGAAATTCAAATTTAAATGTTGCATTTTATTCGAGAATTCAATACAATTTCCATTTAGCAAATCATCGGTGGCAAATTTACCTTTACCGCCGTCATGTGACTGATGTTGTAGACGAGAGTGTGACAAAGTGTTTGTACTAGTACCAACAGACTTATTGATGGCTGAAGTCTGTTGCTGGTGTTGTTGTTGCTTATCTTTGTCTACTTGTTTTTGTTGTTGCTGTTGTTGTTTGGACTTTTGCTGTTTGTTTTGTGCAGCAGCATTCCTTGAATGAGCTGTGCTCTTTTGTGCCTGTTGTTGTTGTTGCTTTTGATGGTTGTTTTGATGTAACGCCAGCTGGTGGTGCTGATACTGTTGCAGTTGATAATGAGGATGATATGCAGCGGTTAGACGATTTGTTGTCGCCGCGCCCCACGCCAGCTTGTAGTTAAGACGTTCCTCTAGCCGACTTTTATGCAAAGTGGCCAGATCAATGTCCGACAGGCAGGTCATTGTGTGATTTGATAACGGTTTTATGTATTTACAATCGCTGCTGTTGTTGTTGGCGGTGATTTCTTTATTTGTTTACTTGTTTTTGTTTTTGGTTTTTTTTTAACTGTTATTGTTGTTTTGCGTAATTGATTATTCACATATACACATACATAGAAATGTGTTTACTAAGTAGTAATTACTTCTCCAATCGTCGGTAATTACATAAACTCATACATATGTGTGTGTACATACATATGTGTGTATATAAATATTGGCACATTTACTTCACACAGAAACTGTTACACCATTTATTTGTTTGTTATGTTTGCCACTTTAATAATCCAATTAAATTTAATATTATTTAATAGCTGTTATTTTGCTTTGATGTTGTTGGTGTTGTTAGCGTTGTTTATTACATATACATACAGATGCAGAGTTTGCTAAATTACGAAATCATTTATATAATAATATATAAAAATATATTTATTTATTCTAAAAGTGCTCGTCGAACTGAGTTCTTTTGTTATTTTTTTTGTCGAATATTCGTGCGAATATTGCCAGATGTTTCCACTTTCACAGATTAAGTAATTGACGGCATCGAATGATTTATTGCTTCAAAAATCATTTACGTCACTGTGGGACCCAAACTGCGGGCATTGCCAATAAGGTTATTATACTAGTGACGCAGACGCAAGTCAGCAGCTGCAAGAACCCGCTGTGAACGTATAATTAGGAAACTCAATGAGAGATCTAAGGTCGGAGGAGTGCAATTTAGCCTTCGGAAAGGATGAGTTCAAGTAAAGAGAAATCAGACCTTTCAAACTACAAAGAAATTTGCTTTGATTGACGAATGGTGCAACAAGAGCTGGTTGAGACGGAGTTTAGTTAGATGGGTTCAGACAAAAGGAAGACACATAATTCCTTCTCCCCTCTTAACTGATGCGACAAGGATGGATCATATCGGTTGAGCAACAGCAGCTGCTGGAATGGAATATTGGTTGAGGAGAGCGCCTAATAGCAGATAACATTAAGAAATGGATCGTATTTATGTGGATCCAGTATGTTTCTTAAAGAGTGTTTTCCGTCAATAAAAAAAACCTGAAAATCCCCTATAATCTTGGTCCGGGAAATAGCGCAGCAGCTGCAGAAACTAGCAACGAATATTTGTCGTTACTCTCAGCCGAGGAGGGTATAGATGATGATATATGGAGCCGAGACGGCTCTCTCAACTAAACCGCTAGCCTTGTTCAAGGACGAGAATGAAGCGGAAGGCTCTGTTGGAAGCGGATTAACATAACATAACAAATTATCATAGATTAACATAAATATTAATAAAAAATTAGAATTTAAATAAAAAATAATATTAAAAAAAAACATAAAAAAATATAAAATAAAATTCAATAAATATAAAGGAAATCAAGACAAAAAAAAATAAAAATAAGAAAATAAAAACAAATAAGAAACAAAAATTAATTAAAATAAATAAAAACAAATAAAAAAATTAAAGAAGGAACAGCTATAAAATAATAAAACATTAAAAAAATAGTAAGCATAACAATGCAAGACAACAGTGATGTGAAAAAAGAACGCCATCACATGAACAGCAATCATCACACAAATGAAAGTAAAAGCAAGATGAAGAAAAATGCATGACAAGAGTAATAAAAATAAATAAAAAAAACTAGAATTGCACATTATGCTGTTGCATGCAACAGACGTCGAACGAGTCTGTGCCACATTCCAGGCGACACTCTAAAAACAACAACTGTAATAGCAAGCAACAACAACATGCAAACAATCGGCACGACAACAACACAATTGTGTCACAGATGCCAACAGCTGCTTATGCGTTACAACGAGGAAGCTTGAAGCTTGAAAGGATTGAAAGTGAAAAACAGAAACAGAAATATTTATACACATCAAAGGAATGTTGTAGTGTGGAAAATATTTATGCATGCGCCGAGAAAGGGAGGACAACTGCGGGAAAAAACGAAAATAGAGCAACAAGCAGGACCATCAAAAGCAACAAGTGCTATAATGCATAGCCAAATTTGTATATAAATGCACAATATATACATATGTACATATATACAAATATGTATGTATAAAGCATATTCATGCACACGATGCCACTTCGACTGCAATAAAATATATACGCAAAAAAAAAATGAATAGTTGTTGTATAATCCCATCAAGCCTGACTTGACTTCTGCTGTCGTGATTGAAAGTTTACGCATTTTTACAAGCAAAAACAAAATATTATGGAAGAGAGACTGCCTTAATTTTTTCATGTTTACATTCAGATTGAATATGTATAAATATGTAATAAAGTCAACCTTGATCTGTTTGTCTGAAAAAATCAATAAAAAAAATGCCGAAAATAAACAATAACGCACCTTAAATTCGAAAATTGTTAAAATGAAATTCCAAAATATAAAACCAATTTAAACAACAAAATTAAATCAATATTGAAAAAAAAGTAAAATAAAATAAAATAAAAAAATGTGGGAAAACCCTCTACAACTACTAAATCGAAAGCACTGGATTTAAGAAAAAATTTAAATAGAAGCAATAAAAACTCGGCCAAAAACTGCTTTAGCGATTATAAAGCGCCGATTATATGTAATAAAAATTCGTTCATGCTTAAATGCCATTAAATGTCAATAGCACGGTGATGGCACGTGTCAGAAAAATTGCCAAAAATGGTGATTTAGGTTGACACCTAGTAGGTAGGTAGCATGTTGAATTTTAGCGTCTTTTTTTATCAAAAAAAAAAAAAAATAAAAATCAATATAAACGCATATTTGATTGTAAGTTTGTTTACTTGGCCATAAAGATATCGATAATAGCATTATAATGTCTTATAGTATTGCTAAAAACGCACTGCGTGAGCACCAATAAAAACTTTTAACATTGTTAATAGATAAACAATACACTAGAAAAGCACAAACAAAGCCGTCCTTTGACCAGTTTCTCCACTAAGACACTGTGACCAGGTAAAAGTCAGTTAGGTTCTTTAACTAGTCAATTTATCGATAAATTATATTTGAATTCAACGTTGCATTACAATGAACTTCATCAAAAAGTTATTGTACATATAAATTTTTCGAGCACCTACAAAATAAAGTTATACATAAATTATTATCGATAAGTAACTAGTAATAATGTAATAAAATTAAATGCAATATTTCGATTATTTATGAAATTATATTAATTGATAGTTTTGTTGAATTACTATCGAATGTTAAATCTATTTTAACATTAGCAATAGCTTAAATATTAAGTTTGAACATGAAATTAATTGACTTTAATATTTCGATTAAACAATTTGATTCGGTTAATTTAAAAATGTATTAGCAATATTATTATTTATTGATTAAATTAATCGATAAACAGCTATAGTATTTATATCCAACAATAATTGCAATGTTTTGATATTTTAAATGATAGATAAAAAATACATATATTTTGATTAATCGATAAATACCTTAAAATATTTGTAATAATCGATAAAAAATAATTGCAAAATTTTGATTAATTTAATATTTCGTTATCTTTCAGGCTAGCTTATGTATTTAATATTTTTAACATTCAATAACAAGTAATATATATCGAATAATCGATAAAAATCAAATCAAATTATTCGGTTTATCGATCAATTATTAACTGACAAAAGTAGTTTACATGTTTCGATAAATCGATTAGCAACTTCAAACTTTTAGATTAATCGATTAATAGCTTTAATATATTAAATTATTGTATAAAAAGTAAAAATGTCGATTAATATAAGCTAAATAGATTAAATCGTTTAATCGATATACTTAATTTAAAAATATCGACTAATCGATAAAATTTAATTTCCAAATATCGTTTAATCGATCAATTTAACTTCAAAATATAAATTAATCGATCAATTTAACTTCCAAATTCAAATTAATCGATCAATTTCATTTCAACATATGATTAAATCGATAAGTTTAAGTAATGCGTAAAACTAACTTTATATCAAAATATTTTTACTAATTTAGTAATATAAAATAAATAAAAATGATCGAAAAATGCACATTAAAATTCTCTCAGTGTACTTAATTAGTCAGACAAATGAACCGGTTTTACCGATATTATTACCAGCACTATACTAATAATAGTCATTAGTATGGTCAAATGGCTATCTATATATATATATATATGCGTTATGTATATTTGGCTACTGAATTTTTTGTGGTGGGGATTTTTTTTCTGACCATAAGCCACACAACCGCACAAAGTTAGCATTTGGTATTGGTCTCATAATTAAGCCGTGTCATTGTACGAGTTATTGACGTTCTGCATTTTATAGAGGGCCAAATTAAATAAACATTTTAAGTGTATTATGAACTAAAACGTTAATTTGTGGCAATAAAAAAGAAGGGGAAACAACCAATTAGCAAACTGCCGTTTTTCAAAGGAATTTCCAGTAGCACCATACGAAGGAATATGTATAACTATATAATGTATATAAAATTATAGCTATTTTTAGTAGTTCCGGCAATGAGCTAAGTGGTCTTACCAAGAATATATATTATAGAGCAAGTCAGTTGTATAAAAGATTGACAAGTGATATTGGTTAAATTGTACTTTGTTCAGCTAATAGGAAATATGCTTGAAAAATTAATTTAATAATTTGCCACAAAGCGGAGAAAATGAACTGTTGTCAAACCGTTTGCATGAGTATTAGCAATTTTTCTTTGATCACCATGAATTCCACATTTCTATTAATATTAGATTGAAACAACTGTTCATTGCTGTAAGTAATTCATGAGTTTAACGGCAACGCAACTTATCATTTATTTTACCTTAGAATCGATTTCACTTGACCAATAACACTTATATACATACATATAGATATAATATACATACATATGTATGTGCTAATGAACGCATGTCAAGTACTTAGAAACTTTATTTAAAAACTTTTACTTTTCATATTTGTTATTGATATTTTTTTATTTAATTTATGGGCATACATACATACATATCCATTTAAACGAAAATCGATGTCAAGTATAAATTAATTCACACTAAAGCGTACATATTAATGTCGTAACGACATCAATTGATGAGACTTGAAAACAAGCAAAAATCCCTTTCCGGCAGCCGCTACATATTAAGACTTTCAAAAACAAAAATAATAATAATAAATAAATAAAAGAAAGAATTAATAAAAAAAAAAATAATTAAACAAACACGCTTCTACAAATGCACAACGTACATATAAATGATACAAAATTCATAATATTCGTATTCGATCTCTAATTTATTGTTAGAAATTGTTTTGGCATTGACTCTGCCATTTGGTTCGTTGGCACTTATGTATGTGTCATATACATATTTCT